TAAACTTGTAAAGACCACTTGGTCCTCACCTATGGGTGAAATCTTATTGTTAACAATATCTATGGTGTGTCTTTTATATTTTAGGTGTCACTATTATTTTAGCCATAAAGACCTGTTTGTTGCGCCCTCCCCGGACACACAGGGATTTAAGGGGAGAGGGACACACACACATGTGTGACGTCAACACCAGTTTGGACACATGCCCGGAGCTGTCAGGACCGTGAGCTCGTGATTTTGGAATATATTGCTGTATTTTGGGATTATTGTGTTTCCAGTCGTGGTGGATCTCGTCTCACCACAGGAGCTGCTGGACTGTGGGACAAAACCTGAGCGCAGGTGGCGTGAGTAAAACCGCAGACTTTTTTGACTCACGTCACACTGCCGCGCAGCGAGGGGAAAGACTTTGGGAACTTTGGGGGGGGAAGTTGTTGGGGACTGTTATGGTGAAGGGTGGTGGACTAATATCGAACTGTTCATTATTGTTTTGTTGCACTGGGGTTTGTGTTTTTGTGTGTTTTTTTTGTGTTTTGGGTTTTTGGGATTGGTTACGCTCAGCGCGGTGGTTAAGGGTATTGTACCTGGCAACCAATAAGTCAGATAGGCCAAAAGCACTGATTTTTTGCATGTCTTTATTCACCCCTGACATAATGATCCTCCCACGTCTAAAATTTGCGTTGTAGCTTTCTCTGTCGAGAAAAGGTGATTTTACAACTGGTCTCACCTTTTTGTTCTGTCGACGTTTCCACAGGAAGAAAACCACGACTCCAGCCAGGACGAGGACCACACACACTGAGACTCCGATCACAGCTGCAGGGGCCCCAGGGCCCTCTGCTGTGGGACACCAACACATGTGGAGATCAGACAGGGTCTACTGCACCTGTCACTGCACCTGTCACTGCTCACTGCACCTGTCACTGCTCCTGCTCCAACCTCAGAGTTCAGTTTAACACACTGAGACGTTTTGACGTGCGACAAAAGAACCGCCTCAGATATTTTTTATGAGTGTGTCTCACCTGTCAGTCTCACCTGTCAGACTCACCTGTCAGTCTCACCTGTCAGACTCACCTGTCAGACTCACCTGTCAGACTCACCTGTCTCACCTGCCTCCTTTGTGCGTCGCAGTTGTGTGCTGGAGATGTAGTTTTGTTGCTGCGTGTGGACTTCACACAGGTACTCGCCCTCCTGCTCTGGGCTCAGCTCCTTCAGACTCAGAGCGCCTGACTCTGACAGGCGCTCCACAAACGGCCTCCAGGGGGCGCCGTAGGTCACGTCCGCTCCGCTCCGGCTCAGGACGCTCTGGACGCGGTTGAAGGTCCAACTCAGGCTCTTGACTGGAGCAGACGGAGCAGAAGAGGAGGAGCAGGGCAGAGTCACGTCTGAGGACATCTCCACTGGAGCTGAGGAAGAACACACACAAGTGAGGACAGGAGCAGACAGGAGCAGACAGGAGCAGACAGGAGCAGACAGGAGCAGACACACAAGTGAGGACAGGAGCAGACAGGAGCAGACAGGAGCAGACAGACACACACAGTGAGGACAGAGCAGAGCAGACACACAAGGACAGGAGCAGACAGGAGCAGACAGGAGCAGACAGGAGCAGACTCACGGTTCAGGCTGTAGGTGGCGCTCTTCCAGCTGTGGGTCGTGCTGATGTTACAGGTGAACCTCTGAGGGGGGCGGAGCTCCAGGGCGAGCGAGCTGCTGACGGAGTAGAGC